CAAAGGCTGCAGTTGGGAAAGGGAATCGTATCCCGAGGCCAATAATTGCAGCCACAAACCAACCTTGCCGTCCAATCGCCGCGCATCTGTGTGTAAAAAGAATAAGCAGAGATACATCGTAATCGTTCTCTTGCGCTCGAATGCGAGCGGTGATCTACTGCAATCGGTGTGCCACAAGCGCAGCTCCGTTCCCTAGGATCCGGATGCGCGGATCGCCTTCTCCCGTTCAGGGTCCTATCGATACACGCCAGTAAAGCCTCTGGATCCTTCACCTTCCTGCGTGTTATGCGCTGAGCCGAATCTTGTCCAAGCGATGGAGGTGCGGAAACGTTAAGTTTGTTCTGATCGGTGTACTCCGAATAAGAATTATTCCTGCATCTGGATTATCACTTCTGCTTTGGTGGCTGCGAGTCACCATCCGAGTGATGTGGCTGATGACCGGGTCATGTAATCTACGCTGCATATTCAGATGCAAACGCGACTTCACTCCTACACATACTCTCGGGAATACACTGCCGTGTATGGATACTATCGGAATTGTTTTTTGGCGAACTTATTTCCGTCGGGTATTCCTTTGATAATGGTAGCACACGAGCGCAGGACAGTCATTGGGTCAGCGGCAAGATCGCCCGTTGAGTTCATGCATGCACATATGGTAGCATTTGCTCTCTGGTATAGTGATTTCTTTTCAAGACTGACATAGGATAGAGCAATAGCCTGTTGAGCCCGAATTGTCGCAAGCTTACAACCATTACCGAGGATACGCTCAACGACGATACATTCTAGGTTCCAACTTTCTACCTTCAAGTCCGACTATACACTCGCAATGGAACCCCGAAGCCAATCAAAGAGAACCCACGAGAGGCGTCGCATTTACATACCGATTAAATCACCTTACCGTTCAAGTTCAAAAGCCAAGTTGCCAATACATCTCATATGCAAGTTACTGTCGTCATAGCGGTCTCGCCTATTCCATGCATCTCAATATCTCACTTTAACCACCCCGGACCACCACCTACACCAGATGTTTATTTCCTTACCCGGCCCTGCATCACCGTTACATATCCTCGGGCTCGATGCCGTCTCCCCGCTTACACAACGTCCGCGGAGACTACATTTGCGTAGCTGCATACGGGACGAGGCTTGAACGTGGCAGAATCTAGCGCTATGCAAGTACGGTTGATGCAAGGTTCAAAAGAGGATGAGGGTGGCAAGAGATGTAAAAACGAAGTACCTTCGATGCCCCGCTGTCCTCCAATGCCTCGTTCACTGACTTTCAGCCTCATCTCGCACCTAACGTGGACATAGCCACATTGCTCTTACTCAGCAACTAACTCTCCAGCCTTCTGAGCGACTTCGGTAAAGTCACTCTAGATGTACCACTTCCCGCCCATCTCCACTTGTCAAAGTCGCTTTTATCCGTTTTACCAGGACTGTACTTGCTGCGTTCCTACTTCCCTTTCTGATCATCCTCATTCCCGCATCGTCTTCCTCTCTATAACAATCGAAGCAAGAAAAGCCGTTGTAGCCGCCCCGCCGCGGAGAAGCTGATGCTTTGGATACATGTGATGAACAAAGTACGTCACGGAGATCAGCGCTATTGAGTGTAGCCATTCCTCCGTAGATGCCGTAGTGATAACTTGCAGATAATGTTCCAGTGTCGCTTACACACGCGAGGATGGTATAGCAATAACCACAACGACATCTCCTTCGGCATCTTCGGCATCTTCGGCAAAAAGCCACTCTACACATCCCCCCTTCCCGTCCCATCTCCACTTTACCACATTCGCCCTTATCCGATGCACTAGGACCTGCAGTCACAACATCCTTTTTCCTCCCTTTCCGTCGAAGATTCTACGTCAATTCTACATGGATGCAGGAGGGCTTCCGGTAGCTGAGCTGCCGGGAATAACTTTTAGAGACTGGGTATGACGAGACGTTTTTTTTTCTTCTTCTTTTGCCTGCTTGACCACGTCGCTGGTGAGCATGCGGGCCAAGAGCGAGCGCATGGCGCGTAGATAGGGTATAGACACGGGCGGACTCGGGACAGGGGGGTGGGGGGGGGTTCCTTGTAGAGGCTTTCACACGCAGCGTGGCTTGTCGAGCGAGTATAGACGGGTCGTCGTACGGAGATTCAGTACGGTGTAGGGCTGTGGTGATGACTTGCAGATTTGCTCCGCGGCGTCGCTTAGCAAGCGAAGGTTGATGTGTGATGCCGATTTTGTACTGTCGCGTGCGTTTTGCATATATGCCTGGTCTTTGATGAGCTCAGCGTGGGAGTTGGGACTTTGCTGTGGAGCGCCTGTAAGCTGGGGATGTTGGGTTTGGGGGAAGGAAGTGCGACAGGATTTGGTGAATGGATTGGTAGAGATGTACATGTTGAAGATATCTGCACGGTGGTTTGCAGTATCTGGTTGTCGCTCTTAGCTAAATGCACATACAAGAATTGTATACTACAGGATAGGTTTAGATATCGTCCTTCGGGGCACGTCACCAAGTACTTTTGATAGCGTACTATTTCGTGTATTGGCAACAATGTGTTTATGTTCTCGGTGCTTCTGCAACTCATATATCTGCTGTTAGTGATTGAGACCTGTGGTTCAACTAAAGAATTTCCTTGAAGGTGAGCTACGGTTCCAGAGGAAGTAAGCGTCTTGAGCTTTAGGCAACTGCTCTTACCGTTCATAGATCTTCATTCCACTACATACCCGCACTTACATCCACATCCACATACATACGCATAGTTGCCGCACTCTTCGCAAGTCATTCCCCGAGCAGCGAGAACGAAACGAGGAAGAAGCCGCAGAGTAACAGAGAGAGCAAAATCGTAGTGCTCGATCAGAGCCAGAGCAAGAACGCGAGTCGCGAGACCTAGCCCTCGTATCTCATAAAGGGACTAATAATGTACACGGACATCAACAAGTCTAAGGGAACTTGATGCTTCTCTAAGTGGCGTGCATACCTCTCGTCACATTCCCGCGCTGCTTTAGCGCAGAGCAGCTCAATCAAATGCTACAAAAGAAGCATAGATAGACAGTTCAGCTATAAGATGCGCGAACGTCTATTCAATTATTTGTAGCGCTCTTCATAACGTGAACAGTTTATTAGCAAGATTAATAAAACGAGAAAATAGCAGTTTTGAGGCAGTTTTCCCGTACATGTTAGAATCTGTGACAGCAGCTCGAAGAGTGTGTGGGTTTGTGATACCGACACTAACACCGTAGATATATCTCTAGTTAATCACAAAATCTGCCCAAATCTCACACTATATTCCGATCCCTTCTCTTTATTACCTATCACAGCTATCTCTAGCTTCCCAGCTCCTTCCCAAGCCCTTCACCGTCCTCTCCAGCCAGTCATCTCACCACCTCATCTACACCCAAGATACTATACAAGCGCACGCAATCTAGTAGCCATCGCGCATCCCAACTCCACCAAGCCGCCCGTATAGCTTCGAGCGCAAGAATAAGAAGATAGCGTATTATCGTCCAACTTTCCAACTAACATGTTGGAGAGTCAACTTCCACTTCACCGAATGGTACTGCGAGAACGCAAAGCGAAACCAACCACTTACAACTTCTCTAACATCGACGACCTAGACGAAGCGACGGGACACTCTCGCAGATGAGAGAAGTCGCAGGTGTGATACACTTGGGAGTTGAAGACTAAGTATTTCGCTAGAAGTAGGGTCTTTTCACTATAGATAACGGTAGTATTGACACGGGAAAGAATGACTATCCATGCGAGTGGAGATGGTGTAGTTCTAGCAACGGATGACTGGGAACAGCTTGTGTTGTTACAATGCGAGCTGCACTTCGTGGGCTTCTCAAGATCGCGTGGGATATCTTGTGGTATGCATAGCTCGGCTGGGGATGTTGTATATGCTACCTAGGTATCTGTGAGATCGCACGCGGATGAGGAAGAAGATCGATTATAGAGTCGACACGGTACGAGCAGAACGAAATGCGTGACTACTCTGTAACAGTTAGTAAAGACAACAGAATAATCATAAGAGATAATTAAGATTAATTACGCCGCCCCGACAGTGAACACACTAGAAGTTGCTCTTTAGCAGTTGCCTTCCTGGGTTTGCTGGTGTATGTAACCTGGAATGCACTTAGATCTAGTCGTGAAACTGGCATGAGAGGAAGAAAATGGATTCTGGCGGGTATTGATTGGCAGTTCTCAACATACTGGTCTAGTCAAGTCTGACAGGACTAACGTACGAGGTAGTAAACAGGGTTGAGGATCTGGGTTAAATAGCTTTGGTGACGATAGCGAAGATGATGCTAGATATCGTCCAGTTGTTATACCAGAGGAATGCAAGTGTCCGCTTGATGACCGAAAGAGGGAAGAAGCTCGTCCGTATGCGTTGTACCCGTCACTGAAAACATCGAGCAAAGGCATATATGGTATCTTTATCAAAGCAGTGTAAAGTTCGTAGTAATGCGTTGTCGTTTGGGAGTAGATCCCCGATAAGAAAGAGCTTCGTGGTATGAATATAACCCTAACAGCCATCTACAGCTGTCAAATGCGACATTAAGCATGAGCCCAATGCATTACAATCTGTGCGTTGCAATCTGAACGCCTGGTGGAGCCACGAAACCAGTCCCATTCCACCCACATCGAACGAACAAGTCCACGTGCCATATATGCAGCGCACCATCACACACGTACGGGCGTTGAGGCAACTGAGAGCACGCGTTGGTGTGACCCAATTCCAACGTCCATGCGTAACGCATGCCGTGTTGCCAAAAAGGCTGTCCAGGCGTCACGTCATTGACCACGTACGTTTGGCCGTTCCAGACATACTAAAATCCTAGACTGAAAAACGCATCTCGCGTCGTTTGGAACCCGGGAGCAGTGTCGAAAGTTACCGCTGCAGAGCGGCAAGCATCCAGCTGCGCAGGAGTGAAAAACCATGCAATTCGCGCATCTTGGTAAACGCCATACGCCAAGTAAGCGCCATGCGCCTAGTATGCGCTCCTCCAGTATTTCTTCTAGTATGCGTTTTGAGGCACCTGGTAGCCGCCCATCTGCGCTTGTTGGGCCTGCGCGTGTGCCTGTGCTTGAGCCTGCATCTGCATCTCCTGCTGCCGCTGAGGCAGGTCATTAAACCACGGATGTGAAAGAGCGTTCGCAGCACTAATGCGCATCTCCGGCCGCAGCTGCAGCATGCAATTGAGTAGACTAAGCCCCACCTGGTCGACTTGCGGCAATATAAGGCGCAGGTCCTGGGTGTGGTATACGGGGAAGTTGTTCTTGTACTCTGGCAGCTGCGAGATGCCGGGCCATGATCGTTCAGACGGTGTGCCCATCAGCCTGAAGATCTTCTGGACTTGGTCTTCGTTGGTGGTTCCAGGGAACAGCGGCCGCCCCGTGTACATCTCGGCCATGATGCAGCCTGCTGACCATATATCGATGCTGGTGTTGTAGGTCCGGCTGCCGAGCAGCACATCGGGGGCGCGGTACCACAGGGTTACGACTTCGTTGGAGAAGGTGTTGACTGGGATGCCGAAGGCGCGAGCGAGACCGAAATCGGCCAGCTTCAACTGGCCACGGTTGTTGATCAGAAGGTTCTGGGGCTTCAGGTCGCGGTGCAGGACGCGGGCTTCGTGGCAGAAGGCGATTCCCTTGAGCAGCTGGTACATGAAGGACTTGATGGTGGCGGGGTCCAGAGCACCGCGGTCGCCGCGCGAGTCCATGTATCGCTTGAGGTCCTTGTCCATGAACTCAAAGACGAGCATGAGCTTGTTCTCGGTATGTATGACGTCGTGCAGCAGGACGATGTTCTCGTGGCGTAGTTCCTTCATGAGGGAAATCTCGCGGATAGCCGTCGAGGGCGTGCCTTCCTCCGAGTCGAGGTGAATCTCCTTGAGGGCTACGAGTTCGCCCGTCTGGCGGTTTCTGCCCTTGAAGACCTGGGCACGTTAGCACACAGTATAGCCGACATGGCGCTCCTGCCTACCGTGGCATAGGTGCCCTCGCCGAGCTTCTCGAGCTGCTGGAAGGAGCTGGGGTGTCGGCGGTTGTCCATGGTAGGCACGATGGGCTGGGTGTAGCCGTCGCCGAGGTTGCGGACGCTGATGGACGAGTCGGTGCGGTGCGGGGCGACAAGCGTGCCGGCGTGGACGGGCTGGAGACTGCCCGGGGGCGCTCGCGAGGTGAACTTGGGGTCCCAGAGGATGGCCGAGGCGGTCGTGAGCTGGCTGGCGATGCGCAGAGGCGAGGGCGGCTTCGGGGGCTTGTCGGGGGCTGGGGCTGGTGACGCCGTCGTGATGAGCGAGGGGGGTGATGATTAAATAAAAGGGTCCAGTCGCGAGAACAGCAAGGCAGGGGATCTTCGTCGGCGCTTGGGTGGAGAAAGACTGTTGCACGAGTCCACGGGTGGGATGTGAGTGGGTTTGGTGGGGCGAGAGTAGCCGCCTGCCTCTGCGCTACGCCCATCCAACTTCTGCCTTCAGCCACGGGCTTTGTTCTTGTTCAAATTGGCTGCTATTTCTGGATGCAGTCATTCATCGCATTGCTTTGGAGCATTTCTACTGGACACTACACGATTTATCGAATTCTGGCTTCTGACACGATATGTTTCTCCAGACAAGAGAATACTTGCTGCGTGAAGAGCACTTGGTATTAATGAACGATGCGCATCACTGATTGGTAAGAAGCTTGCGGGAAGTCGCAAACCAAGTAATCTATCGCAGCAACCTGGGATTCGTTGTAACTGTTCAGTGGTTCCGCCCATCATGCCCAAAGCCCCTAACTAAACAGGTACATCTGAGAAGGAACATCCATAATCTGCCATAACCCTTTCACCTTTGCCAATACTCGTAAGTCAAGATCCCGCTGTCCCAAACGATTCTTGGGGGTGTGATACTCAACGCCTGAGGAAGGCTTTGCTTCCTGTGAGTTATCAGATGTTACTTCCTTTGCCTTCTCCTTCTCTCCGACCTCTGATCCGCTTGCAAGACCAGGATTCAAATCTGTGGAGTCGTCTTCCTTCTTGATATGTGTCCGTGTGGCACCGCCACTGCTCTCTTTTAGTTCAACGACCCAGCATACACTCGCGCTACGGAGCCTTGGATGCGGCAGTATTTCCCATTCTGAATTGTATGGCGTTGCCACCAGGCATGGTCCGTCTACGTCGAAGGTGGACATGAGAGTCTTTTGTCGTATCCTCTCTTTACGGTCTGACCACAAGTCTAAGGCTGTAGTGGAAGCATAAGCCACCATGGTGTGGCGGTGTTTCGATAATCCGGGCTTGCCAGCGAAAATGCGTTCGATCATCATAGTGAACATCATGCGCGAGAGTTGTTTCCGGATGATCAGTTTTTCGGGCAGGTTGTTCGCTTCTAGGATCTTTTGGTGTGCCTCCAAATCTTCTTCCAAGGTGGAGTCCGCTTGTAAGCTGCCAGGCGAGCGGTGATAGATCTGGTGATCCCGTGGAGTGTATGTTCCACACCAAAGTCGTCCGTGATGCATGATTCGGTCGATGAACCATAACTGCGCGAGGCTGGATCCGTGAGTCTCGTCGAGCTGTAAAGTGGCAAAGGGGCGCTCCATAACATCCGGGTGAGCGAAGAGAGTGTCGTCGACCTTATCTGGTAGAAAGTGGTCTGAACCCGGAGCCTGATCAGCTCGGACTGACTGCCATATGCTGTTGGCCAAGCCCTTCATCAATTCTCCTTCTTCGGATGCGGCCAGGGTGTACCTGACATAGTGGAGGATACTAAAGATGATCTGAGCAATTTTGTCACCCATTTGCGGGTCCTGTCGGACGCGTTTAGCATCAATCACCCGTTCAAAATGTATTCTAGTATGATCGAGGCCTTTCCATAGAGCTGATTCGCCTGGGATACGGTCCATATGTCGAAAGTCGCGAAGAGCTTGTGAGGCTATGCTTGGTTGATCAAGTCTTTGAATGAATGTGTTTTGGCGCGTATGAGCTTGTTCCAGGGTCTCGTCTTTCAGGCGCGGAAAATCCACGTGCCAGGATTTGTATGATTCCCAAGTATCAGCCCACATCGCTTGAATAGGCGTGAAGTCAATCTCACGATGCACTGACCATAGATACGAGTTGAAGAGCATTCCGTCAGCAGTGAACTCGCCTGCTTGTGTTGTTTGAAGCCTTGCGTTGATATAGTCGTGAACTTGGCAGTGATCGATTCGATGAGCAGTCCGGTGAAAATCTTGGAACAGGGTTGGTGCACTTTGAGCACACGCATCTTCTTGATGGTCGCGATCCTGCGGTGGGTAAGCCTCTGGAACTAACAGAGACAGGTCGCCATTGCTCAGTGCCAGTGCCAGAATAGCTATGCGTAGTGAACCGGAATTGGCGTTGAGTTTTCTCGTGTCCAGCCGGAAATCATAATCGCACATATTCGCTATGATAGCAATTCTGTCGGCATTGAAGTAACATTCGCGATGCTTCAACAACGTCAGAGCACCTGCGGCATTCATCACAGGTCGTTTACCATAGAACCCATCTAGCTCAAACATTACAATCTGAGGCACCGAGCTTCCTTTCTCGGCCCTTGGATGGAGACGGTCTGCTGCTTCAAGCACGGATCGAGCTCCCGGATAAGCTTCTTTTCCGAGACTAAATCGCACATGATGGTATCCCATATGAACAGAGTCGCTTGTAAGCTTAGACTTCATTCGGTCGAGAATGCGCCAGAATCCAAGCACGTGTATGCAGACGAGCTTTGACTCAAACGACTCCTGGTCATCGTCGAGTGAGTGGTAAGGACGATTACGGCAGGTCCGCTCAAAGCGATGAGACGATCGGAACTTCAGACCTGGACTACGCCGAAAAGCTAGCATCAAGCCACTCCCAGCACAAACAGCCTCTTGAATAACCCACGCTCGGGTATACCACCGATCCTGACTAGTTCTATCGAGAAATTCAAGTATTCCCTCGCAGAAAGGCCGATCTATCATATCTTCATAGCGTCTTGGGTCATGATAGAGCAAAGCCTCGATGGCCGTGAGTTGCTCCTGCGATGTGATTTCGACGTCCAGTAAACCCACTGTGACCACAGCTCTGTTGTAAACAATGTCCATAGACTGTATTCCAAGTTCTTGTTCATTCCAGTCTTCTTTCGGGCTGTTCTCAGTCGGTTGGGGGAGACATTCTTGATCGATCCATATCATGCGAAGGCCATATGAATTGGCAAAGTCTACAGCGCGATCTAGAACGTCGTCAAGGGCACGGCTAGATCGAACACGCCCGTCGAGGTCCCGGACCGTGTATGTTCTTGGAGTCGGGGGTTCTCCATGAGGGGGCCAGCAATATGATACTGCCGCATAGTGCCCACAATAGTCGCGCGAGTGGCGACTTTCATGATTGAACAATTCTGGGTGTTCAAGCACCGGATTGACCAGACGGAATTTCCTGGGCTTCCACTTGTGTGGGAACTCGGGATACGAGGCACAAACTCGGCATTTAAGCTGTTCGGAATCGTTGTGACTTTCTGGTCGTACAGCCATACCAACTCTTTTTGGAATTCGAGCTGCAGGATTACCAAGACTCAAGTTTGCCGCGTGTCGTTCCATTCCGTCTTCGTCATCGCTATCGAAACCGTTGGTTTTGGAGTCGGAATCATCGTAGACCAAAAAGCGGATACGCCTTGACGCCCAATGTCGAGCTTCGTCGCGTTCGAATTCAAGCTGGGAAATTTTCTCAATCTGCGCAAAGACCTCTGGTCCTAGAGACGTCGCAGGGGTCATGAGGTCGTTCTCCATATTTGCTGTTTCCTTCAGATGATAGAGTTTGTTGATGACAATCGTACTTGGGACCCTTTATATCCTAAGGATCTCGAGCTTTAAGTACCTCTACTTGGGTGTAGGTAAGAGCTGCTAGGCTGTGCTGGAAAAGCCACACCGGAAGCGCTTTCACGTGTGGTAGCACCAGCCACTCAGGAGTCTCTGGTTCGATCGAAAATAAAAGCCGCCACTCGCACGCATTACTGCATGCTGCTCGACGGGCATCCGAATCGTTTGAGATAGAAGAGGCTGTGTAACGAGGCTGTGTAATAAAGACCGGTAAAAAGGATGCGAATCTGTGGTACGTACGCTCATGTATGTATTCAAGCGGCACAGTCGGCATTCAAGATTGCCCCACGTTCTCGTCCCGATCACGTCACACGCGCGAAATTTGGCGACAACAAACCGAACAGTCGATTAACGTCTGCATTACCTATGTTCGATTACAGTGAGATGCAAGATCATCCATTCCCAAGCGTGAAGAACGCTCGTCTCTTCTCCCTTGCCTCCTGTTCCGATGACGTGCCTTCGTTCTTGGGCCGTCCGCGCTTGCCCTTCTTGGAAATCGTCTTGGAGACACTAGACTGCTTCTCGAAAGCTGGCGGCGGGGGCGGCAGCGGTGTTGTAGACTTGACAACCTCCTTGATAGTCTGTTTCGAAAGGCAGAAGTCTATATGGGCGTTAAAGCTTGCATCATCAGGTGCCTGCGGAACAGAGCAAATAGGACACTGCCATTGCGGTTCGGATGCCGGCTGCTCACCCTGCTGCTCCTGTTCCTGAGAAAGTTTCTCTAGTTCGTTCATTTCATTATTTCGTTCTTGTCGTGCGGCTTCTTCGAACTCTTCCTCGGGCCATGTCTCCCATGCTCCTTCGTCTTTGGAGGTTGGGGTCTTGGTGGTGGTTGAAGATGTCTTGGCTGCGCGGCCGAAGAAGTCGATTCCAGGCTTCTTCGTGCTGATGATGTGCGTAGCACGTAAACCCATTAAGCGTAGTTTCATGTTCGGTATCTCTTTCATGAGCTTCTCTAGCATCGGTAGACTGTACTTGTAGAGGTCGTCTGCTTTGTGAATGGCAAAGGGTGGCGTTGTCTGCCGCGTGTGTACTTCGTAGGTGTGGAGCTTGATCTTGATGCAGAGTGTTCTTCCTTTGTATTCGGTGCGTTTGAGATCCCCTTCTAATTCCTCAGCGATATGCCGAAGCTTGTCACGCAGGGCATCGCGGCCCTGTAGCTCTCTGAAGGTAGTTTCAGTGCCGACGCTCTTGCGTTCATGGTCTTCTGCTGGCTTGATGACAGTACGCCCTAGGCCGAGATAGCACTGCATCAAGAATTGAAATGCTTTCTGCCCGAATAGCTTTGCCATGTATGCTCGATGTGCGTATATGTCTCCGCATGTCTTGACGCCTATGGCATCCAGCTCTCGTTCGAAGACACGACCGATACCATTGACCTTTCGCGTAGGCAAGGTCTTCATGAACTCCATGATAGTCTGCCTGTCGCTGGCAAGTAAGAACTGCCCGTTTGGCTTGTTCTGATTTGAGCAAATCTTGGCGAGTTTAGCATTGGCGGCGATGCCAGCGGAGACGGTGATCTTGGCTCTTGCAAAGACGTCTGCGCGCAGCTGGCTCACAGCTTCCTCGGGTGTCATGTGGTGCTCCTGGCAGTATTCTGTCAGATTGAGGTACGCCTCGTCGCAACTCGCACTTTGGTAGTCGGGATCGTATAGCGCCAGTACTTCGCGGACCTCTTCTGCCTTGGCCATGTACTTCGCAAAATTCATAGGAACGCAGATGAGCTGCGGACACAGCTTCATGGCAACAAATCCAGCCATGCCGGAGCGACAGCCGAACTTGCGTGCATGGTAGTTGCAGGTTGTCAGCACGCCCTTGCCGACTGCGAACGGAACGTCTTTCAGTTCCGGGCGATCTAGCTCTTCGACTGCCGCGTAGAAAGCATCGCAGTCGAGGTGTACGATGACCTGGCTCAGGTCCCTGCTCAGCTCCAGCTCAGCGATGTAGTCATCAGCTCTGCGCTGGTCGGAGGTCAAGTCGATCTTCTCCAGCTGGCGTCTCTTTTCGAGGATCTTGTTGATCTTCTCGGTGAGGTTCTTGTCCTTGACCTCCTCATTGTTGAAGAACTTGGAGCCCTTGGACGCGTTGTAGATGACCTCTGAGACCTTCGATTGGTCTACACTGTCTTGGCCAGCTTTGGTGAGCGACGGGCCGAGGAGGTGGTACTTTAGGGAGTCGTGCTCGGTGGACGTGGTTCGGGTAGGCTGCGGCCGCTCTGGTATATCTCGGGAGGTGTCATCTCCTTTGGCGGTGGTCATGGTGGTTGCGGTGGCCACTCGAGGCAGGTCGGACGCGTCGTGACTACGGTGACTGGGTGCATACTTGGGCACGTGTGCGCGACGGGGCTGCGCGCATGATGGAGGTGAATGGGCGGACCCTGCATCGCTCATGGTAAGTGGGGGGTCATTTCGTGAGAGGGCGACAGGAGGCCCCATAAAAACGCGAGATGAGGCCCTCTCGAGGTCATGACGCGCTTTCACGTCTACTCCCCACTCGGCCTAGCGGCGTTTGAAAGCCTCCAGGATCACTCAGGGCCACCAAAGTTACTTCATCTCGCACCAACACAGACGCCTCCCCACCTGAACCCTTCTCCTGCTCCTGTCTGGCCCCCGACCATGGACTGGACGCCAACCATCTGCACTCCTCCACCGCTGGCATTGTAGAAGTGGGGCATACACGTAGAGCGCCGTGCTGTATGACCTGCAGACATCCGACACGCTACTAGCGTCCATCAACACACCATCGTCAACACCGCCATTACCCCCCGAGCCGCGCCCATTGCCCCCCGGCAAGGCCATGATCTCCCTCCGCATCCGCAGTATAACACCACAACGATAGCCGCACTCACCAGAGGATGCCCATCGAACGAACCGACCGAAATAACCCACGGCCGCTGAAGCCGACGCTCGCCAGCACCCGAACCGCCGCGAAGACGCCCTTGACCCCGAGACTTGCCGTTGCGCCCACCGCCTCGTCCACCGTCAGCTCCTCGAGCACCCGCACCGCCCGCACCAGCAATGGCACCACGCCCAAGGTTGCGGCCCCGGCGCCCTCGCACAACGAGGTGACGCCCATCAAGCCCTTCCTGAGCAGCAATGTCACGCCTCGCTCTTCCACGAGGAAGTCACGGGTCGGCGTAGACAGCGCTTCGTCTACGCCCAGCGGCACCCCCTCTGTTACCCCGAGCAGCTCGCGACCAGGCTCCACGGTAGACCACCACACCCGGGACCAGACTGGCGGATTCAGTGGGCACAGCGCCGTGGGAAGGAGCGGTTCATCAGCGGTAGGGGGACGACCGCGCAGTACACCGGGACCAAGCAGCAGCCATGTCACGCCGACCCCGAGGCCCTCGCTCTCCATGTACAACACCGCTCCGTCCGACGCTGGCAGGAAAGACGCTTCATCCCTGTTCTTCCACGCCAACGACGCACGTCCGCACGAACAACCAGCACCGGTACTGGCACCCACAAAGAAGGCGCCCGCATTCTTCTACGCCGACGGAAGACAAGACGAGCCCCCTGCGAAGCCCACCGTACCATCGCCACCGCTGTCGTCCCTGGGGAGATCCCAGCCCGAGAGCAAGTTCTTCCATGCCGACTCCCAGCCCGAAAGCAAGTTCTTCCACGCCGACTCCCTTTCCGAAAGAAAAGACCGTCAGCCGATTCTCACACCGCCGCCTCCTACATCTCCAGATCTGCTCCCGCCCTTGGAAGGCGGACAAGGGGGTTCGCTTCGCCCGCCTTCGCCTACAAAGGACTTTGCACATCTCTCATATCGTAAGGGAGCCTCTCAGGTCCGGCCAGCTCTCAGCAGAGGCAGTTCAGGAAACTCCGCTCTCGCCATGTTGACTGGATCGAACACGCCAGATGTGTCTGATGGCCCCAGACGGAGATCTAGCGTCGCCTCCACTATAAAACGAGGGCACGTCAAGAGCTCCAGTCTGTCGTCCATTGACTCTGTGACGAGTGCGAAGAAGGCACCGACTAATGAACCATCCGCCATGCAGCCAAGCCCACTTCAGACTGAGAATCGTGCCTCCCTCCCCGATGATGCAGCACCTACGCCCGCTCGTCGCTACACCGCGTTCTCTCCTGTCGGATCTCCAGTATCAGCAAGCCCAACAAGAGACGGCAAGAGGAACAGCGACACCAAGAGTGCACTCGATATGATGAACGAACTTGCTGCCAATGCACGAAGGGAGCGTAAAGTGCTTGACCTCGAAATCAGCAACTCTTCGCTCCTCGCCATCAACCGGTCATTGGAGAAGGAGGTCCGAAAGCAAAAGGCGGAGCTTAGACGCTTCCGTCGCATGAGCCGAGCTGGGCACTTCTCTGCTGATATGGCTAGCTCGCCTCCTGAAACTTCTGCCATTGGCTCTGGAAATATAGGGGACCTGTCGGACATGTCTGAAGCAGAAGAGGAGGACGAAACACCTGAGGAGGAAGAGGACGACCCAGAGGACAGCGAGTCTTCTTTCGACGAGGGTGCTCTGAGCCCGAGCGCTCAGCTAGAGCGAGACGAAGCACACCGCTCACGTGACGAGAAGCGCCTCCAGCTCGACCTTTCCAAACATCGCGAGATGTTGAACGACAGCCAGAAGATGAACCAGAGCCTTAAGAAGTGTCTCGGGTGGACAGAACAGCTGATCAAAGACGGTCAGAAGGCGTTGGAGTACAAAGTGCACGTCAGCGATGTCAAGATAGGTGGCCGCGTACTCGTTGCGGAAGATGACGACAATGATGCCGCCGAACCACAGGAATCCAGGGGTCTCCTCAGTCCCTGGAGTCCAATACACAACGCCATCGACGCTCTGGACTCACCTTTCTTCCCTCAATCCGATCGTGTCATCGACCGGGACAGCGGTATAGACCTCGAAGGTCTCGAACACATGGATCATCACAGCGACCACTCTCGCGCAGCCTCACCCACGGACGACGGACAAGATCAGTCTAGAAGTCCTGTCAAAGAATTCCGTCCAAAACTACCCGGTACATGGATCTCCTACGCAACAACCCGCGAGTCCGATCTAAAGAAACACGAGACCCTCAGCCCCCTTGGTTCGCCCTTCGAAGAACGGATCAGATACCTCCATGCGTCCATTGACGCTCTGGAAGCATCTTCATAACCACACACATACATACGCACGCACGCACAGCTCACACTTATCTCTCTCTTGCTTTGCTCAACTTTGCACATACCCACCTTTTTTTCTCACTTCATTTTGCATGCATAGGGCACAACGGCGTTACACCATAAAGGACATTTTGCATTTTCCACCTTACTTCCAAACCGGCGCACAACGGCACAATGCGTCGAATGCGATTTCGACGCCCCCCACGACCGTTTCCTTTGTTCTTCCTTTTCCACTTTCTCTCACGGCCGCAACATATACATACATACTCTCGTTCAACTTTCAATAATGTTTTGAATCTACGGCCTACGTCAACAATCTTGGAAAAGATCTTGTCGTTTGGCTGTTTTTACTTGGGCTCGTGTCTACGCGTGTTGTGTGCACAAAGTCAGTTCGGTTTTTATGATACCCCCCACAACTACTACTACTACTCAGTTGCGAGAGAGAGAGAGTTTTTATATAAGAAATCTTTACATAGCCAATGTACGTCGCTTTACACTTTGGAAGAACTTTGTTGGGATTTAGTGTTGCATGCGCTTGAAGGTTATCGGGATGGGGTCGTTTCATCGCGTAACGTTGCTTAAGTTTGGGTTTAGCACCCACGTGAGTACGACACTTCACTCGATCACATGACCTTCTCTGTTGTGGTACCCCGAACAAATGACTCCAACAGCCAGGTGTGACAATAACATCCATGACGTCGAGTCAAATGTCAATTGAGGCAAACAATGAACAATGTATGCTTTCATTGAGGCATGATGAAAACCCCGTCTATGCATGAAGCAGGCCTAGTGAATCCCATTAATCCATGATACATCCCTCTACCGAAGTAGGCAATACGTTAGCACAGAAGCCAGCCTTGATCTACGGGTATCCCGAACAAAGAAAGAAGCAGTGGAAAGAGAACTGTAAGAATCCTGAAAGGTGCAAGATATGAGAAGTGACGATGATTTAAGCCCAGTAACCGAGCAGAGCCATCAAACCTGGCATTACGTTAGTATAAATCCAATAGTATGGGGCACGGACAAGACTTACCAGCACCAAGAACCATAAGGCCAAACGCCTTAAGCGTCCTACTAACAGGCCCCTTCTGCATATACGGGCTAAACATAAACTCATGCGCCATAAGCTCCACAAGACCCGTGTAGATCAGAATACCAGCGGAGATGGAATCGAAAACACCATTCGTAAGCAACGTAGTCCTGCTCTCAGGCGCAAAAGACTGGCGCACGCCCAGGCCAATAGCAATGGCAATGGGGGTTGAGATACCGTAACCGAGACCAAGGAAGTAAGGGGTCCAGCGCTTGGACGCAGGCCAGGGGACTTCAGCAAGACGGGTTCCCAGACCGAGGCCTTCGAACATTTGGTGGAAGACGAGGACGATGTAGAGGGTGATGAACTCCTCGCCGGCTACGGCAAGGGTGAGGCCGATGAAGATGGAGTGGAAGATGACACCGAATTCGAGGATGAAGACGGCGGTTAGTTGCGAGGCGTAGCCATCTGGGACGAGGGGACGTGGTGCCATATCGGACTTCAGCTCGGCTTCGTGGTCGCGTTGGTGGCCGAGGTGGTCGTCGCCGCGGATGTTGTGGTTGCCGCTGCTGCCTCCGGTGCTACCCTCGAGGTCGTGGGCTTTGTCGTCAGCGTGGGCGGCTGGGGAGATGCCAGTGGGTTCGTGGCTGTGGCTGTGGTCGTGGTCGCTGCCGAACTTGGCGTAACGCATTGTCATGAGCTCGAGGAAGAACATGAGAAAGAGCGTCATCAGGGCGATGCCCTCGGGCCAGGGGTACTTGGCGATAACACCGGTCAGACATTCGTTACCGAGGGCTTCGTTTGCTGGGGCCAGGAGATGGATGAATGCCGTTGTGATGATGACACCTGAACCGAAGTACTTGGCGGCGAAGAAAACCCAGTTGGGGACCAGCTTGCTACGGGAACGTCTTGCTAGGACGGGGAACATGGCACCTGTGCGATGTTAGTATGCGAAGATCGACAAGGTTTCTTGTACACACCGAAGCTGGATGCGACCAGGATGACGAAGATGGATGAGATACGGGTGCCCATGCGGCCATCGTACTCGTTGTCGCCGCCGCAGGTGATGACCTCCTCAGGTTGTGACTCTGCGCCATCATCTTGACGGAGCACGAGGCGTGCAATATCGAGGGCGGTAGAAGCCATGTTGATGAATAGAACACTGGCAACTGAGTGAAGAATAGCGATAGTACGGAAGATTCGCTTGATGCAAATCTAGACAAATGTGCTTCAATATTGTCGATCTCTGGTTGGCGTGGACCCGAGTGACCCAGATGTTTGGTAATGGTCCAGTGGAGAAGCAACCCTTGGGAGAAGCTTGGTTCGGCTGGGCGTGTCTTGTGCAGTCTTGGGTAACAACAAGCACTATATATTGGATCCTTTGGACGCAATCAAGCACCTTGATGGACAGCTGGAAATGCTTGACGGTGCTTTGATGGGTCTTCAGGAAGGATTCACGGAGTACGGAACTGGTTGGACGTGTGAAGGCGGGCGATATACCAGAAGGGTCTTACTCAGAGTACCCTGATGGCACGCTAAGGGCGAATATTCCACTGGTGCATAGCCTGCAGAGCCTATGGGGTCCAGTATAGCTGTCACCCGTGGGGGGAGGCGTATGTAAAATGCCTTTGAGAGCGCGCTGAACGTGGGACTTTTTCAATCATGGTGTTGGTGTGGCATGTGCGACGTCGCGGTTGTTACGATGCGGCGAACGTGCGTTCAGTAGCAGTCAGCCGCAATCCTAGGCCCGATTCCACTTACTTGAGCTAGGACCTGCCGAAACCTCAACAGGCCCACGTCTACATCAATCTCTGAAGCCGCATTGCCGCATGCCTCGACCGAGGGACATGAAGGCGGCAGCGCGATGTCCGTATTGCACGACCTGGGCCCTCGTTCAAATACGAGACGGGCTGGAATAGACGCAGTGGTTCAAAGACGAGAGCGTCTGGTCACCGGCGTCGCGCGGTGCTGCAGAATGCGGTGCATCTACTACAGACACTGATGGAAAATACTGGACGCGTTCCTGGCTAGAATGCAAAATGAGGTCGCTAGTTGCGCGCATTCGATGCTGAACTTCAAGTGCAACGGCGCGATCATTCCGACTCTTCCGAATTCCGAATGACAGTTCCTTACAATGCAGGCGCCCATATCAGAAGGTACGATCAAGCCGGCGCTTCGAAATTGCTGAAAGATCTTGAAGGACAATTCCGAGCCGTGCCGGAACCTTGACAAAGAAGATTACTTTGACGACAGCCAAAAAGAGGAGGCGGGCTACGCGGTGGTGAGACTTGCAAAGCCATCAAGTACCGAGCAGGTAGCCGACAAGGCCTGACAGGCATGCGCGAAGATCTGTACATATTGGTGAAGCGGTGGAAATCTTCTGTTCAGCTGATGAGGCTGTCGCGATGTACCTACTTGGCGCATTGCCAGATGCAACGTACAAGGCTGTCGATCTACGCAAGTCGCAGAACCACTTGTAGCAGGTAACTGCATCTAGGTTTGACCGGCCGCGCTGATGTGAGGGTGTACAGGCGTATGCACTCCGCCTTCTCCGCACTGCCGCGTGATCCGGTGACATGTACCTAGGTATTGTCTCAACACATGAGGTGATGGACAGCGATGCGCGTCTACAATGAAGAGTCGTCTGGGATGCTGGCTATAAAGTGCAAAGCTATGCACTTCGGGCCGTTCGGCTGTCGAGTAGCTCTGGATGGTTGGTCCACATCACACCACCGTGAGGGGCTGTGGACTGACGGAATGTAAAACGCGCGCCAATGTACAGCGGGCGGGGTCGCTTCGCATATACTCGGAGTACAGCTCGATGGGCATGGCGATGTCAGCAAACTCGATAGAATCGAGGCGATCGTGGGACCCATCCATGAGACACATGCCGGCGCACGGAGGAGGAGATCGAAAAGTTAATACAATCGGTGGTACTGAAACCGGTTTGCCAGGGCTAGAATGGGAGCAGTGGGAGCAGCTGGGGGCGTGCACAGCGCGTTGCTGTGGGGAACATCCTGGACGGCTTGGCGTGATGAAGCACTGATGATGTACCAAAGTACCTCGCGCCTGCCAGCCCGCCCCACCCCACGAGAGCGCTCAATGTCGCAACCACATGGGCAGAGTGAGTGAATTGACAGCCAGCTTGACAGCGCTGCCATGATTACGATATGTTCGCGCAGCCGGCGGAGACCCTTATTCTGAAGCTCCAGGCGCAGAGCTGGCGTTGGCGCATCCTTGCTTCTCACGCAGGCCGTAGCGGGAACCAATCAATAGTGCATGCCGTGAGGGGCTATGACGTCTCGATTCCTGTTTCGTATAGCTCCTGCCGCAGCTCCAACAGGTGACCGCATAGCTGCCTAGCTTCTCCTCTTTATAACTCCGCCTCGTCTCACCCTCTTCCTGCTTCTCATTGTCAACTCTCCCATAGATCCCTCAGCACCAATTGTTGCTGTACAGGTCCCGGAGTTCCATCACAACACAAACCGCCATCATGATTGAGGAAGTCTTGAAGAAGACCTCGGAGATGTTCCCGCTGCCCACCGCGACGGCCTCGTCGCTGCCTTCGGTTGCTCCCATCCCAACCGTCGCCCCCGGACCTGAGCCCACTTACGAGGTTGCCGGCGATGCTGGAATGAAGACCCTCTGGGTCGTCTTTGTTCTCATGCTGATCGCCTCTGCCGGTTTCACCGTCATGTCCTGGAAGGTGCCTTTGGTGAGTACCATCTGGAGCTACTTCAGACAGCAGATTCTAACACCCGCTAGAACAAGCGCCTTTACCATGTCATCACCACCATCATCACCCTCACCGCTGCCCTCTCTTACTTCGCCATGGCCTCCGGTGCCGGTGTCTCCCTGAAGAAGGAGGTCGAGCGCGAGCAGCACGACCACGTCCCCGACACCTACAACGTCGTCTACCGCCAGGTCTACTGGGCCCGTTACGTCGACTGGACCATCACCACCCCTCTCCTGCTCCTCGACCTCGGTCTCCTTGCTGGCATGTCTGGTGGACATATGATCATGATGGTTGTTGCCGACATCATCATGGTTCTCACTGGTCTCTTCGCTGCCTTCGGTACTGAGGACACTGCTCAGAAGTGGGGCTGGTACACCATCTCGTGCATTGCCTTCCTCTTCGTCTTCTGGCACCTTGGTCTTAACGGTGGTGCCAACGCCCGCGCCAAGGGTGACAAGCTCCGCGGTTTCTTCATCTCCATCGCTGCCTACACCGCCGTCCTCTGGACCGCCTACCCCATGTAAGTCTCATCAATACTCACGCTTCAGATCTCATACTAATCCGTTCCAGTGTCTGGGGTATCGCCGATGGTGCTCGCAAGGCTAGCGTCGACACTGAGATCATTGCCTACGCTGTCCTCGATGTCCTCGCCAAGGCCGTCTTCGGTGCCTGGCTCTTGGTTGCCCACGCCAACATGCGCGAGAGCGATGTTGAGCTCAACGGCTTCTGGGCCAACGGTCTCAGCCGCGAGGGTGCCATCCGCATTGGTGAGGATGACGGTGCTTAAATGTACCTCATCAGCACAATTGTCTTACTCTCGTGAGCATGTCAGCTGTGTCATAGCACGAGTACAGATTGATTCGACAAGCATGGTTCACCCTGACTAAGAGGGCCGGAACCAGTGACCAAGATGGAAAAAGCGTACGCGGCATGTTCAGCTTCTGACTGTCCTTTAGGCAGTATCTCTCCTCAATGATGTAACTTTCTCATTACCGGAGTTGGAGGCTTGTCAATAGTCACGGGATTGGACGCCCATAATATGGACGTTTCATAGTTAATGCGATAATGATATTGATCTCGAACTCTCTTCCATATGAATCCGTGCCGGCTTACCGCCGAGCTCTTCTAAGCTGCCGCACCAGTACAATGAAGAATACGAGTGATGTATTTTGGCCCTTTAACCCTTTGACCTCATCTCATCTCACTTAGTGAGATGTCTTGTTCAGATGTCTATATAGTTGGCATGCTTGGCTCGTTGTTGAAGTCACCCAACATCGATACCTTCCAGCATCACCAAGACCAACCATGTTCTCCTCACTCTTCTCCGTCGTTGTCGCGACTCTCCTGATGCAATCAGCATCTTCATCGCCTCTCACAACACCGCCTCCATCTCTCCCTCCCACGCCATCGCCTACACCCTGCACCAAGACGGTCTTCACATTCCCTGATATCCAAGTTGGAACCTGTACCTTTAACGCGACAACAACGACTTCTACTGTTTTCACCGACTGTGCCGGATGTGCGCTCGAGACGATTAACCTCGGTGGTCTTGGACCGGTACGTACCCTTTATACTATTCTGGCTATTGGTGGATCTAGTAAGCTGACTGTGGTGGTGATTTGTGTAGGCGTGCGCCGCTGTTACGACGGTTCCGGGGACGAAGACTGAGACTGTTACGGCTTGTCAGTCGGCTTAGGTTGGGATGGGTGTGAGGTGTGAGGTGGTGGTAGATGATGGTCGGTCTTTTTCTTGTAGCTTTCTTTGGTGGTGATGTTTAGTATGGTTTGTAGGATATTGTATACAAAGAATATGCCTATACTCCTCCGTTCCTCTCCTCCAAAGCTATCTGTAACTGCTCTGCTCATCCAAACACTCACCCATATTTCCAAACAGATGACAGAAGTTAACTATAGTTAGCATTGACGTTGTCGTACAGGCCGTTCTCGTGTAGATTCAGCTTAGCGTGTTTGTCGTTTAACTAGCTGAGTAAAGCCGGCCAACGCCGTAATTACCCACTCATGCACTTGCGCCCCAGATGATCGACCGCAGGTAGCTGCCCAAGCTATGGGTCTCCCCATCTGTACTGCAGCCTCACAACTGCGTCGCTGCACCTTTCGGCGCCTTGAACGAGAAAAACGTAAAAAGACTCATCCGCCGCATCGTGACATCAGGCGGCTGGGGTGCATGGACGCTCTGGCGGTCAGGTACGGGCTTCCGGCTGACGCGAAAGCGAAATCAAGGCAGTGGCTGTGTACGTGGATGACCCCACGAACACAATCAAGGGTATGAAGGGTGGATGAATGACAGCTGTTGTTGCCATGGCAGAATGTCAGATGAAATAGTCGGGAGACAAGAATGTTTTGTTTGTCGCTCATCCGGCGTGCGTAGGTGACGCCCGTCACACACCTGACGCGCTTCCAAGGTTTGCTCATGCAGGGATGTGCGGCTGCCCCGCAACCAAGCCGCGGTCGGGGTGGTGCGGTGCAACGTGATGGGGGAGGGAGCTTGGAAGCTCAGGCAGGCACCCGACAAACCAGCTTGCTTTGCTGCCCTTGGAGTGTGGACAAGTACAAGTACCTGGGAGCTAGCCCATACCTGCAGCTTCACAAGTTCCCTTTTGATCACACCCACACCTGCTTGAACTACTTACCACTTGCTCGACTTACTTACTACTCACTCAACCTCGATATCGACGAGCGAACTGACGAATTACTTCCAACATGGCGACTGAGGATATCAAGAACGAAAGCGCGGCTGAGGTCATCGTCGACGAGACGCCCATCTCGCCCGTTCGCTCTCTGGACCGCCGGAACAGTTTGGAGAAACATTTGCAGCATAGGCCTGAGCCGCAGGATCTGAAGAACAGACATATTCTGCTGGATACTACGACTGCTCCGTATGTTCCCTCCACCCTTCCCCCTCCTCCCATTTCCCTTCTCCGACCCCATCCCCCTCTTCTCACTTCCCACTTCACACCAAAACCCCCACTAACACCCCCTCCCCTTCGTAGTGCCCTCCAAGCCAAAGCCCTCGAACTCGAGCGCCAACGCGCAACCGACCAACTCAAAAAAGGCCTCAACGCCCGCCCCGAACGCGCCGACCTCATCGAGCGCAACATCCTGCCTGCCTCCAACGCCGCGCCCGCACTGCAGGGACACCAGAAAGAACTCGATATGCATATGCGCGCGGATAATCTCGAGAAGGGGTTGCAGTCCAGGCCGAGCCCAGAGGAGCTGGTTAAGAAGGGGATTTTGGATGAGGGGGAGATTGGTAGGGAGTAGGTGGAGGGGAGGGGGATAAGGGAAGGGGGAGGGGAGGGTGAGATGGGAGGGGGATGTGTGAGGGGGATGTGTGAAGTAGGAGCCGTACTAGGTGCCGTGCGTTACGATACGACAATGCATTCGGCGTTGGTAGGGACGTGAGATGGGAATTGTACGGGGTTTTGCTTCGGCATTGAGTACCTGCATAGTATATATATCACGAATTATGGAATGTTTCTTGCTCATACAGTCATTTAGTAGCGTTCGCATCTCACACACCCTCACCATCACAATTTCTAGGTCACAAAACTCAAGAATCCGTGCAAAGAGCGGCACGAAGCCCATGACTTCATTACAACATGTCTAGGCTACTAAGCTCCAGCCGCCTAGCCAACCTCAAACAGTAAATAAACCAGCGAACATCAATCATTCCGAGATCTGTCGATCTAATGACCGACCTTCTCCTCCCTGACCACAGTCGCATTCTTAGCGTCCATGTCATCAGCGTGGTTCTCACGGTCCGCCTCCATGTTCTTAACCAACTCGGTGATACCGAAGAGGTCGTCCATCTTCTCGAGGGACAGGCCCTTGGTCTCGGGGATGAGGAACCAGACGAAGATGAACATGGAGAAGCAGAAGGCGCCGTAGGTGAAGAAGGTGCCGTAGCCGCCTTGGCCCATGGTGGCCATCATGTTGGGGGTTGCGCGCGCGACGACGAAGTTGAAGAGCCACTGTGGAGGGTTTGTTAGTATGTGTTTTTTTTTTATGTGGAGAGAAAAGGGTTGGGATTAGGACGTACCTGTGTAGCAGCGGCGATGGCAACGTTGAGGGAGCGGAGACGAGCAGCGGGGATTTCAGACACGTAGATCCAGCATACGGGGCCCCAACCGAATTGGAAGAACAGGGCGAAGAGGAACACGCAGACGAGAGCGAAGTATCCTGCTCCTGGTACTGGTTCGCCCATGATGGGCGGGTCGACGCGCATGTAGATGCCGATGTAGAACATGGCCATTCCCTGTGCAATCGATGTCCAGAGGAGCGAACGGCGGCGACCAAGAGAATCAGCGGCGAAGATGAGGAAAGCGAAGCAGCCGACCATCTTGACGATGCCGTAGATACCTGTGGCGAAGAGCTTGACGGAATTGCCCTTGAGACCGAGGGCGGCGAAGATCTGGGGCGCGTAGTAGTTGATGGCGTTTGTTCCGGTCATCTGCTGGCAAATCATGAGACCGATGGAAATGAGAGCACGCTTCCGGTTACCGGGGATAGTAAACATCTCTTTGAGAAGGTCCTTGACGCTTGCACCCGCAACGAGCATACGCTCGTGTTCAAGCTGGTCGGCGATATCCTTGATCTCGTCCTGGACGTAGGCGTGCGAGTGCGGTAGGTTGCGCATGCGAGCAAGCACTGTGGTAGCTTCCTCCCACTTATCCTGCTTAGCGAGGAAACGAGGGGATTCCTTGTTCAGCGCCATGCAGCCGACGAGGAGAACGGCGGGGAGAGCCTGGAGAGCAAGAGGAACGATGTAGACTTGTGCGCCACCGGAGAGGTGCATGAGGGAGCCGTAGTTGACCCAGAAGGCGAGGCAGGTTCCTGTGGCGATGAAGAGTTGGTAGAGACCTGTGAGTCCACCGCGGATACCACGGGGTGCGTTTTCGGAAATGTACAGAGGGACGACCATGGAGGCGCCTCCTACACCTAGTCCAGCGATGAAGCGGCCGACGTACATGGCTGCGAGGGCGCCCATGGCTACGGCTTGGATGATGCAGCCGACGATGGTGACGAGACCGGCGATTTGGAGGGCGGTCTTGCGGCCCCAGCGGTCGGCTACCCAGGAGGCGATGAAGCAACCGGCGAAACATCCGGCTTGGAGGGTAGAAGCGATGTTAGCGTTCAGGTTGGCTTTGCCGACTTTGTCGAGGTTGGTGATGTTGTATTTGCTGCGTGGATTGTCAGTGTCGTGAGATGATAAGAAAATAAGTAGAGATACTCACTCCTGGAACTCCTTCAACTCAAGCACACCTCCAATGGTTCCGATATCGAAACCAAACAACATGCCACCAAAACAGGCGGAACCCGCCATGGCGAAGGCGCGCCATCCGTAGATCTCGTGAGGGTCGGATTTGATGGAGTCGTTCTTGACGATCATGCGAATAAACTTCGCGCCGGTGGATGGAGCTGCCATGATGTCGGGTAGATCGGGGGATGCTACCGTGTCGGTGGGAGTATGAATCTATCTTCTCGTCAGTATGTACGACGCATGGAGAAGCTGTTGTGGGACACAAGGACCGAATACATACCGACAGACAGAACGATCAAACCACAAGCTTGACCCTAGACCAGACGCTGGTGTATAGTACACCAGGTGTCGTTCGAAGAGAATAGCGAGAGAAGAGTGAAGATCTCCGCAGATTGCTGGTCTAAAAAAGCTCCCCCAGTGGGATGTGCATGGCCATGATATATAAACAGCCAGACGGTATAGCGGCCCATGCGCTATCCTCGCAGCACTAGCTCCTTGCTCAAGACG